GTTTCCCCAACCACTCTGGGCAGTTTCCAACATATATAAAAACATAAGAAAACATTAAACATTTTTTTAAAAAACCTTCCCTATGCAAGATTGCCTTCAGACGGCTTGTGGGTCGGATAACTCCATACCCTCCAACATTTCTCCAGTGAAAATAGGGACATCCTAAGGAAAACTGGGACATTCCAGGATCAAATCAGAAAGCAGGATGGCTTCTCTAAATCAGGGATGTCCCTGGAAAATAGGGACACTTGGAGTGTCTGTGAGTAGTCATGCCCAGGACTGCACCATTATAGCCACTTTCAGTGCCCTCTCTAGATAATCATATATGGCATCCCTTTTAAAGTATGATTAGCAGCTCTGAGCTTATTGAGGGCCACATTTAAATAACAGTTAACTACTCGGGGTTTTTTTGCAAAATGTTAAGAATGTAAAGCCAGCTGAATCATGAAGGCTTAATAAAAGTGCAGATAACTTACTTGGCCACTGTAAACACTTGACTGGTGGTGTTAATGACTATAAATAGGAGTCACTCAATCATGTGCTTTATTGGTGTATCATTTTAGGCGCAGGACTGTGTTTTATAACTAGAGGCTTATAGACAACCTCACACTACAACTGGTACAGAAATAGATTTCATGGCCAGCAGGACTTAATTATGATGTTTCACTTGGTGGGAACTGACAATAAATGCACTGCAAGGTTTACATGACTGAGAGGAACTGACATTACTAATATTCCTTTGCTACTACAGGTGGTAGTTATTTCTTGGAGACAATGGATTTTTTATATATATATATATAAAGAAGTCATCTTACACTGTTGATGTTTTGCCGGGAAATTGATTGGCCTGTGTGTTTCGAGAAGCTGAAGGCATCTAATGGGCAGATGTATCAACATGGGCCAAGAAAGGGTGGTCATGTATCTTACTTGAGAGTGGGCAGCCCTGTATTTGAAGGAATCCTCTCCTTGAGCCTTCCCCAGATGTTCTGCAATACAGCATTTATCACCTCTACCCACTAAATATTATCCAGAGGGAGGTGTTTCTTGTGGCAGGGCTCATTTGTAATAGCAGTGGTACATGTCCTTCCCTCCCCACTTTGCTGCTCTTGTTGCCACAGGAAGTGGAACCGGCCATCATTTTGCGTCCTTCACAATGTCGCAGTCATTCTGAGACACTGTGGCAGCCACCACAAAACAATGGTGGGTAATATTTGGCCACGTGGTTCTCCCTTTTGTGGGTCGGGGAAGGTAAACTATCCTGGGATTTTGATTTGATGAAAGGTGGTTTCAAAGTTGAACAAATAAATAAATAGAGTAAAAAAAAAATTCTCAGAAAACTCTGGAGGAATTTTGGCCCTTACCAACTGTTTCTGGTGGGAGGGCAAAAAATCTTCCACTGATGGCAAATACCCTGGGGCTAAGCATCAGTAAACATTACTGGGATGAGAGACAGATCAGATAAGGCTGTTTCTACAGGAGTTTGCCGTGCACACTGGACTTTCGATATGAGCTATTTTGCTTGTCTGTTTCTTCTCTCAGATATCTTTCCAGAAGCCTCTCACAGCTCCAACACCAGCAGTAGCATGGCTTCATACAGAGACTTAGTGTTTGCTTATTTTTCACCTCTCAGAGTTTGAACCAAGAAATAGCAGCTGAGCCCTTTGAACACTGGAATTACCTAGCCAATAGTTCTATTATGAAATCCCAGAACATGCTCACTACGTGGCCTTCTCATGTCCAGGGCAACAAGAGAGACAGTCAAACCTATTCTCTGCTTATCAGTACTGCTTCCCTGAGGCACATTTGCATTTATACAAAGAGTTTTCAATCACAGCTGAGTTTACATAGGCAAGCTGGGGAGCATAGACAGACAGCCAGAGATAGAATTGTTCAAAAATCAGAACATCACCACGGCTTATAAAGCTGTGTTCCCATAGTCTTGCAGCAGCATGCTGAAATTAGGGCATGCAATGGATTCTTTGAGTCTGGAGGTGAAAATTGACCTGATCATGCGTCATTTCCAGGGCGGCTCTACAGTTGGGTGGAGTGAGTTGGCTGCCTCAGGTGGCAAATGCTGGGAGGGGTGGTGAGTTATCAGAAACAGAGCTGTGTGTGTTATTCAAGCTGTCCCATGCCACCTAAACTAGCTTGGTGTCCTTGAAGAATGCTGTCCCATCACCAGTGGTGGAGCATATGCCCGCGCTGCCCAGGGTGGGCACACTGCTGAAGGGAGCGGGGGTGTGGGGCATGGAGGGAGCCACGCGCACCCACCGATCCCGCTTCCTTCCTCTCCTCTTCCCTTCCCCCTCCATTATTTACTCGCCGGCCTCCTTCCCATCCTCTTGCCTGCCTGCCTGCCTGCGAGTGTCCCGGGAGGCTTGCCGCCGGTGGCGCACCACCAGGACGCTCGCAGGCAAGGCAAGCAGGGGAGAGGATGGGAAGGAGGCAGGTGAATAAATAATGGAGGGGGAATGGAAGGGGAGAGGAAGGAAGTGGGATCAGTGGGTGCACACAACACCTGCTCGGGGGTGCACGAGATGCCCGCTGTGAAGATCCGCACGGGGGGGATTTTGTCACCCTCCTAGAGATGGCACCTGGGGTCGAACGCTCCCCCCACCCCCACTTTCGCCAGCCAGTTCCCATCACCAGTGTTAAAGTAACAGTAATAGGCAAGCCTGTCTGGCTTTTTGTATGTGGAATGGGAGGGGGTGCCATTCTCCCTTCCACCTCAGGCAGTGAAAATCATTGGGTTGACCCTGGCTGTCTCCCCCTGACTGGGCGCAACCAATGGTTTATAGGTGGGTCCCTTCCAATTCTACAGTTCTATTATTCTCTGCTACATTCTTGTTTACATTCTAAAAAAGAAAAGAAAAAAGAGTATATTGTATATATTCTAAAATTATTGATGAGATCCCCCCCCTTTTAATACCTTTTTGGTCCGTTTTGCCCTAGATACATTTTACAACCTGTTTTACACATGAGCAGCTAATCCAATTATGTTTGCAAAGCTCCTCCTGCATTCCAGCACAAGATCGTTATAAACTGCAGACTTGGGAAGGAACTGCCCCACTCCCTGATTCTTGTCTCTTCTCCCCCACCTGGTGGTTTTACATCCTACCAGATGTAGGATGCATCCTACCCTCCAGTATTCTGGAGCTTTTTCGTTGGTCTTAGTAAGGGCATCACCCTATTCTTGATTTTGAAGCTCTTCCTCCACCCAATAAATGGACTAGCATGACAACCTGTGCTTTTTGTTTATTATCTGTAGACCATGGCATGGTTAAGTTCAAAAAGACCATGGAAATTGCTCTCTTTCTTAGGACTATTTCTGATTCTGAACAATTCTAGCATAATTTCATCAGGGTCACATGCTGTGCTGGCTGGGGTTGATGGGAGTTGTAGTCCAACCAGTGGTGTAGCGTGGGGGGTGCAGGGGGGGCCGTCTGCACAGGGCGCAACATCTGGGGGTTAGGGGGCGCAAATCCACAGGTTAGGGGGCGCAAATCCACGGGTTAGGGGGTGCAAATTACTTGCCTTGCCCCGGGTGCTGACAACCCACGCTACGCCACTGAGTCCTATGGCATCTGAGGAGCACCAGGTTAGTGGTGGCTGCTTCATTGTTAAAAAGCAGCAGTTTTGCTGCTTTCTGGTACTGTACTTAAAACAATGACAGGAGCTGAGCCCTGCTTCAAATTAAGCTCTGCATATGATTGGCGTGCACTGAAGTTTTTTCTTCCTCCATCCCGCCCCCTGCCCGTGGCAGAGCTCCCAAGTCTTAATAGATGCACATATGGCAGAAATTCAACATGTGAGGCTTTTTTTCATCACTACTTCAGCTCAGGAAAAGATACACCTGTTGAATTACGCCTCTTGAGCAGCTGTTAAAAGGCACATGATCTTTGCTAAAAATAAAAAGGTGGCAACCCTAATGGTGTGTTTGGGTGCGTGCATAAGGCAGCAATATTACGCCTGCTGGTGTGGGGGTAAATTCCAGAGAACACAGTGAGTCATGTTTCTGAGTAAGCATGGAATTGTAGGATTTGTCAGAGTTAGAAGGGACCTTGTCCAGCTCCCTGCTCAGTGCATGAATCTTGCAACATGGAAGATGCATCATGATCAGAATTAGCATGCCTCTGAATACCAGTAACTGGAGAACAATGCGGAGGGGAGAAACTTTTGCTCTCCTGTCCTGTTGTGGGCTTCCCATAGGCTTATCACCAAGGGAAACGCGATTCTGGATTAAATAGGGCGTTGGTCTGATCTAGCTGCCCTGTCAATTATTCTGTTCGGAAGTGCAGTTGCATGGAAGCATTTGCTTTCTTCAGCGATGTCTCCCTGAAGAACGTGTCTTGTAGACTTAATAATCTAGGACGGCCAGGTTTGTTTTCATTCTTTAGGATTTCTTGCTTTCTTTGACAACAGCTTTCCCTATATATATATTGACATCACTGGAGCTTTTCCAGGCACGGAGAGAAAGGATCTCTTTTGCAAATCAAGCTGCTGTTACAACCCACAGAATCCGGTGTGACACCCAAGCCGTTTCAAAGCCGAAGACGGCACACGTGCACAAACTTGACGCAACCTCCCACGGCGCGATTTAGCTCTTTTCTTCGGAAAGTCACGCATGTGCACCTAACTGGGTCGCACTTTTCAAAAATCGGAGCCCCCGCAGTATATAATCTGATGCTGGGACTTCCGTTCACGGGCTACGGCTCACAGCTAGTGCCAAGCAAAGGCTGTCCCGCAGTCCTTGGAAAAGTTCCCTGGCACCCAACTATATAAACCTCCCCCCCCCGCACCCCACCCCCTGCGTTACAGCAGAGTGTCGTTCCTCGGCGACTTTGCACGCACGGGATCTTGCTGCGTCAGTGTGCGGCTTTAAAGGAGATTTCCTCAAGGTTTTTTTTCCCCCCTCTCTCTCCTTAAAGTGGGGATTATTTATTTATTTAAAGGAGCCTAATTATAGCAACAAGCCAATGAGCGAGATCTGCCTCTCCCCCTTTTCACAGACATACCCTACTGTGCGAGGAGGGCTGGGCCGCCAGGACCACGACCACCTCCCGCCAGACGCGTTCATTGGCGGTAGAGCCGCTTGGAGGACGAAGAGGAGGAGGAGGGCACGTTTCGAACGCTAGCGTTTTCCCCGGGCTGGACCGCCTTTGCGAGCGTTCCACGGTTCGAACGCCGAGTGGGGAAAGGAAAGGGAAACCCCCACGATCGCAGGCTCTCAGCGTTCGGAGGCTGGAACGTTGCCGCTCTCCGCGTTCTGCAGGCAGCGTGCAGCGCACCGTCTCCAGCGGGGCTCCTTCCTTTTAAATCTCACTCCACCGCCCCCCGCCCCCCCCGCCTTCCTCAACTCGCAACTTTGCCCAGTGCAACTTTGCTCATAGCTTGCTCGGCGGCGGCGGTGCCACCCATTTCCACCCGATTCCTTTTCTCCCCACCCCGCGCGTGTCCACCCAGTGTTGGTTCTGATTGACTTTTTCTGGGGACGTGCTGGGCGTCCCTGGCTTATCTCCGTCCCTGGTAGGGAATGTGGAAATGGCCGGTGACAGGAGCCCCGGGGTCTTCTTGTGCCGGCGACGCTTCGGGCTCCTGCTGTTGGCGGCGGCCGGACTGTGCGGCGGGGTCTCCGGAGTCAAGAATCCCAGCTGCCACGAAGTGAGGACGGCGTTTCAGATCCGCCAGATCGGCCCCCTCAAGCTGGTGCCCGATGTTCCCACAGCCGGTCAGTACCTACACATGCACCCCCTTCTCTTCCCGTTTAGACCAGCGGTCTCCCAAGGCTTCCCCGTGGGGGTGGGGGTTGTGACGCGCTTAACCCCGGTTCCTTGCCCTGCTTAGGGCACCTGGGAATGGTTACAAGAGCCGCCTTTTGACAGAGCAGGGCGGCTCGGGAAGAGGTGCTAGAGCGGATGGGGGAAGCCGAGGGAGTTGAAATGGACGCGGCGGCAGCTGAAGGAGCGGTCAATGGGCCATGGGCAGTATGGCCCCCGGGGCTGCTCCGAGCGTCTGCTGCAACTTGGTTTGCTGAGCTGTTGCCCGGACCCATCGCTTAGAGAGGAGGTCGTAACAATTCCCTGGAAATTCTTCTGAATCCCCCCACTTTGACCCTGGAGGTTGTGGGTGGTGGGGACTGGGGGCTCTTGGTGACCCGTCTGTTGGGCGCACACCCCTCCAACACAATCCTCGTACTGATAAGAACATGAGGGCAAGCAGGTGGGCAGAGGTGACTGGCTGATTGCTGGTGGGAGGGGCAGGATTGAGAGCTGTGGCACCGCAGAGAGATAGAGACTGAGAGAGTGAGAGTGCAGGTGTCTGTCCCCAAGAACCTTGGGAACTGTAGTTTGTATGGGTGTCGGGAATTATAGTACAGTGGGGGGGTCAGCTAAAGTTCCCATGATTTTTGGATGGCTGGGTGGGATGTGCTTTAAATGTAGGGTATGCACACAACCCAGGGGTAAAGGTAAAGGACCCCTGACAGTTAAGTCCAGTTGTGAACGACTCTGGGGTTGTGGCGCTCATCTAGCTTTACTGGCTGAGGGAGCCGGCGTTTGTCCACAGACAGTTTTCCTGGGTCATGTGGCCAGCATGACTAAGCCGCTTCTGGCGAAACCAGAGCATCACTTGGAAACACCGTTTACCTTCCCACTGGAGTGGTATCTATTTATCTACTTGCACTTGACATGCTTTCAAACTGCTAGGTTGGCAGGAGCAGGGACCGAGCAACGGGAACTCACTCCGTCACGGGGATTTAAACCGTGACCTTCTGATTGGCAAGCCCTAGGCTCAGTGGTTTAGACCACAGCACCACCCACATCTGTACAAGAGAGTAAAAGCAGGGAATTTGTGCAAGGTGCCTCATTTTTTGCTTGTTTACTTCTGGGTGTTTGTGTGCAGCTGTGGGGTTTGGGTACAGCAAGTTGAGTCCTCACCACTGTGCTACCAAGTGGAGGCAGTGACTCACTCACTTACTCAGGATGACCCTGCTAGGCTCAATCCTTGTTGGCCAAGGAGAGAGCGAGTTCTAAGTTTAAGCCTCCAAGGGAGACAGTGGGCTAGTGAAAAGAAGTAGTTTGCAACCATCATTTGCCCTTTCTTCTCCACTGTGCTGCTCCTGCATGGTTGGATGAGGCCAGCAATGGCTTCTAGAACTAATTGCCACCTGCCTCCCTCTCTGGAAATCTCTTACCTGCTCCCTTGTTAGTGGCAGCCTGCTAGGGAAGGTTGTGCACTGGTGAGTGGACAGGAGAACCAGGCAGATGTTTCTTGCATGAGGACCCAACTTCTCGCTTGCTCACCTACACTCTCTTGTCTGGTGCTGTGGCAGGCGGGCGGGGGTTAGGCCTGCCTGGGCCACCTTAGAGGGTGACCCAGCAGACGTGAGGCTTTTCATAGAATTGGAAGGAGCCCAAAGGGTCATTTAACTCAACTCCCCAGCAATGTATCAGTCCAGCCCTACCCAGAGAAGTGAGTGGAGACAGTAGCTGCTCCTGCAAGGCCTACACCTCCCCACCATGGATCCTGGAAGAGAGAGGGTAAGTGGGCCAAGGCTGGGCCCAGTGCCACTACTTCTGGCTCACCTGCATTTCCTGACCGGGGTGGCAGAGCTTCCAAAGTTAGTTGGTGAGTGAACGCTCCTTGCAGCCACCACTCACTTTTGTCCACTTTGGCGTAGGGGCAGAGGAGTGACAGTTCCATTGCACTACTTTCCTTTTAAGTCTGAGTGAGATGGGACAGTTTGTGTGGCACAGAGCGGACCCTGCCAAACCTTTTGGGGGCTGCTAGCTTTCAGCACCAGCTGGTCCATCCCGTGGCCCCTTCTGTGGCTCTGTGCCATGGGCCGCTGCCCCAAATGTGCAGGCTGTCAAAGCCTTCATGGATACTTCAGCTGAGATTCCTGCATCACAAGGGGGTTGGACTAGATGACTCTCGGGTCCCTTCCAGCTCTACAATTCTATGAACGCAGCCTGCTCGGAGCAGCTCCCTAGAAATGCTGGCTTGCTGTTGTATTGAGTTCTAAATGTACAACAACACAGGGCTTCCCTGTATTTGGCCCTATGGGAATGTGGGCAAGAATTAGGCAGGAAACCCCCAACCCCCTTTGCTGTGTTGTATAAGGCTACCAGGGAGCACAATTTGGCTAAAATGTGTGTGTTGGGTGGAGGATGTTGTAGGGCATGCTGTGTTGTAGGGCATGCTGATTTCATTAAAGCCCGCTCCCCCCCCCACTTCCCTCCAATAATTTGAGTATTGTCCAGAACTCACAGAAATGAAAAATAGTCTTCCTGTAAATCAGGTTAATGGCGTTTCCGTGTGCGGCTCTGGCTCGCCAGAGCAGCGATGTCACGCTGGCCACGTGACCCGGAAGTGTCTCCGGACAGCGCTGGCCCCCGGCCTCTTGAGTGAGATGGGCGCACAACCCCAGAGTCTGGCAAGACTGGCCCGTACGGGCAGGGGTACCTTTACCTTTTTAAATCAGGTTAATGGAAGGGAGGGTGACTCAAGCCAGAGGCACAATAGCAGTCTAACTGAATATGTACCCCGTCTGTCTGCTCCCTGTTCTGTACTTCCTAGGAACTTAATATAGCTCCTATTGTAGCCAAGCATTGCGCTGGTCAGTCTCTGTGCCCAGAGCCAGGTTGTTAGCAAATCTCTTCACCAGGCATAGAAAAATGAATCTGTTGCAGCAGCAAATTAGATTGCCGGGATCATTTGGTCCAAGAGAGAGAGAGAGAGAGAGAGAGAGAGAGAGAGAGAGAATATCTCTCTTAACAGGCAGTTTAGAAACTGCAGATGCAAAAGATCTCTAGGTGCAAGCCTACCAAGTTCTTGGAGCTACGCCAAGAAAGAATTTAACCCAGACCACTTTGTTGCAAGACTCATGCAAAGTGGAAAAAATTTTATAGCATCAGTTTTAGTTCGGTCACAGGTGGACCACAATAAAGCACATTTTGTAGGGAAGTCAAAAGGAAACTTTTCTTGTAATTAAAAGTAGCAGCTCTGCCTTTCACTACAGTAATTGTCTGTACATATATCAAACACAGCTTTTGCTGAAATTGATACTGTGTCATGTACTATTCATTAGTGTATTATTCCCTCTCTTCTTAAATTTATTTTATGGGAGTGGAATCTGAAGACAGGAATGGCCTTCCCCATTCCACCCCAAAGTTTCTTATATGAAAGAACTTTTTAATACTGTAATTCAATTAACAGTGACCCCTGGGGAAGTTTTGCTTCACTCCCTTGGCCCCCTTCATTTAGCAGGTGTTGCTTTCTTCAGCAGAGACTGGACAATATGTTGTACTTTATTCCACCAATGCAAAGGGGTAGTCAACTTACTGTAGGATTGCTCTATTCCTGGACGGGAGATGGTAGTTTTGGGGTCACTCTCGCATAAATATGGTGCAGAAAGCATGAACTGGACTAGATGCAGCCCAGTGCAGAAGCGAGTGGGATGGAGATAGCTTCTAAACATGTGTGCATGGCACACTCACTCTCACACATGCATGCACAGTCCCTCACAGAATGGTGGGACATCGTTGCCAGAGTGAGAGAATAGGACTGCACGGTAAAGCTATGTATGCCACCCAAGTTCCATTGTTTTCAATTAAGCTTTCTCCCAGGTGAGTGAGTATAGGATTGCAGCCCTACTGTCATATCCTTTTTGTTTTGTAGGATTGCATAAGCCCTTCATGCTCGAGTACTTCTGTGCAGTGCTCAAAATCTTTTAAATGGTCTGATAGTGACTAGAGGGAAGGGGAATGCTCTTCACTGAGATGTCACAGGTACTAGCCAATAGGTACCTGTGACACTCTTGCAACCAACTTTTTATGCTGTGCACACTAGTGGGGTCATGGAAGGCTGCCTCTTCTCAAAATGTTATTGTCTGAATGCTCATAAGAGGTGTTCTCCACCCCACCCAAATTGCTCTAGTTCAGGAAAGCATTAAGGTGTTTGACACATGATTAAAATACTCACTTTGCCTCTTCTACTCTGAAGCATCTGTTGCTTGCTATTGTCTTGGGCTGGATATATTGACTTGAGCAGAACATTTGTCTTCTGTGGCAACTTCTTACCTAAGAGCCTTGAGATTTAGTGACAATTAGAGATTTATTCTAATAGAATTGTGGAAACGTTTCTGCCTTCTCAAGCATGCTGAGGGGGAGGCAACCAGAGCAAAGGGGCAAATTTGCAATCTGTTGTGGTTAATGTTATGTGTGCTGAGACTCTTATTCTGATCAGCGCCTGTGCACCTGTGCCTTGGATAATGGCAACCAACACACAGTGGTACAGTAATAAGACTTCTACTTTGGCTTGCAGGAAGTTGATGTTCTGATATCCAATATCAAGTTTGCTTGCTGGACTTGTGTGAATCATTATCTCTGAGTCTAACCCTCATGCCAAATGATACAAGTGATCAATGACTAGATTTCTCCACGTTTCAAGTTTTTCACTTTACAGCAGTCATGGCAGGAGGCTTCAAGTTGGATTGAAGTATTTGTATTCAGGGAGTGGTGGTAGTGGTGGGGGCAGGGGATTGTTTTAAGCTTTCCTTCCTTGCAGTATTCCTGAACAAAATTGTACCCTCCCTGGCTGCTATTTGACCCCTGGATGGTGGGGAAATAAAGGTACCTGTAGCCCTGCATGGGCCTCCTGACAACAATGAGAACTGAAGGTAAATGGTACAGGGAGCAAAGGGTTAAGCCAGGGGTCGACAATTTTTTT